AGCCAAAAAGAGCCAAAGGGAGCCAAAGGGGGCCAAAGGGGGCCAAAGGGGGCCAAAGGGAGCCAAAGGGAGCCAAAGGGGGCCAAAGACAGTTCACTAACTCAGACTAATGGACGGAGCTGGACCTGTTCTCTGTGATCCTCAGATTTATTCCAAAATGATAATTCTAGTCACGGTCTGCAGGTTTAACCACAGAGCTGATCCCACAGAACCCGCCTGGGTCCAGACCACAGAACCCAAACGGGTTTGACTTCCCACATGAGGGATGGCAGCTTTTATTCCCACTCTGGTTTCCTGGACTGTGCCCTTCCTTTGTCCTGGGGGGGGGGGGCTGTTTCCAGGTCATTACATCGATGTGCCCAGAAACCTGGAGTCATGGAGCTTTTCCAGGCTTCTTCCAAACCGTACGGATCTAAAAGTGACTGCATCACAGATTTTAAATTACTTTGTTAGCCAGTCTTTAGGGGCTTATCTTAGAAATATGAAGCATGTTTTTGGCTAATCAACACATTTTCTGCTTGTATTTGATACGTATTAAAGAAATCCTCCACAAAAAAAGACAATATTATGATAAAATCAGCTGAGGGAGGTGGAGTAGGACATCAGCTCACATTTGGTTTTTCACCTTCCAGTCAGAGATTAAAAAGCTGGAGCTAAAAGAGACATTTAGTCTCAGATATAATGCACTAATTGTATCTAAAGCACTTAATGCAATAAAGTCTTACAAAAAAGGTAGCCCTCTCTTTTAGCCTCTAAGGGACTATTAGGTGACATTAGGGAGGAGAAGGCTACAGCACAGTTCCTGATATGAGAGTGATGAGTGATTCTCCCACAGACCAGAGCAGCTTCAGCCTCCAGAGCTCTGGATCCTCCTCAGAGCACCAGGACCCTTTTCTCTGGTCTGGAGCTGCAGCCACTGATCACGCTAAAGGCCTCAGGAAGACTCCCAATCTACACTCCCTGCCCTCTAAAAGCATGTGTTTTCTTGAGTTTAGGCATTAATGAATGTTTCAGGGCTGGAAAACCATTATCACACCTCGTCCAACAGCCTCTCGCTGAAAAACAAACTGCAATTCCAGCAACAAAAACCTGAAAAATGACCATTTCCGAGTTTTCATTAACGGATTCCTTTGAAAAAGCTCGTTTAGCGTCAGAATGTTTGAGGCAAACTTAAAGAGGGATGGAGGACGGTTGGTCGTTGCGTAAGAGGCACAGTTTTCCTGCAATGCTCCGAGTGTCTTTATTTTTCATCCGAGACACAGTCAAACACACATGAAGCCACGCTGGGGGGGCCGTTTTGAAAGTCCTGAAAACACTGACAAATAAACGGCCTATGATTCCATTTTTAAAGCCAAATAACTAGAATCTGACTCATCCCCATATCCTGCAGCCTTAAGATTTCCTTTGATGCCGTCAGTTTCCACTTGTGGACTTTTAGTTATTTTAATTTAATCTGTGAAGCTTCAAAAGCTGAAACGCACAAGAATAAAAACTGTATAATTGGGCCTTTGATCATCGATTTAACCTTCAGTGATTCCAAACTGAGCTCTAAGAGGTCTGAATACTGTTGTCTTCTGCTAATAAACCCTCAGAACAAACTCCAACTGGAGCTCTAAACCTGAGCTCCACGGGAGGAACTGTCAGAAAAGCTCCGACCAGTGGAGTCAAGAGTTGATTCTAAGGTTGAGAGTACAGAAAAAAATGGAACCCGGTTGAAAACATTGGGAAGAGTTGTTTCATCCAAGTATGAAAATCGACTGAGTAAAAAGGTTGAAATTCATGAAAGTGTTGTAAGCATGCTGAAAGCAGTTTAAAGGTAAATATTATGTTTATTGTTTCATTTGAAAGATGGTGTATCTGGGAACTGTATGAACCAGAGATTAGCCGGGGATTCTGAGGTGTTGGGGTGTGGACAGGAAGTGGAGAAGACTCAGGAAGTACGTAGCAAACAGGAACAAAGAGACTGTTGAGCAGATGTTTGTGACCAAAGTCGAGGAGGAGTTCAAGCCGGACTCTGCAGAGGACCTAAGGGGGCCGAGTGAATTACGCAATCCGAGATGAGAAGAAAAGATGGAGCTAGCAGATTACTGTGACTTTGCTAAGCTAGCAGCAAGCTAACTGTGTGGCAGAGAAAAGAGCATGGAGCCTCAGACCAGGCAGGAGCACCACGGTGACGGGTCTCCAGCTCTGGACGGGTCTTTAGTCCCTCTGGACGGGTCTTTAGTCCCTCTGGACGGGTCTTTAGTCCCTCTGGACGGGTCTTTAGCCCCTCTGAACGGGTCTTTATCTCTGGACGGGTCTTTAGCCCCTCTGGACGGGTCTCCAGCTCTGGACGGGTCTTTAGTCCCTCTGGACGGGTCTCCAGCTCTGGACGGGTCTTTAGCCCCTCTGGACGGGTCTTTAGCCCCTCTGGACGGGTCTTTAGTCCCTCTGGACGGGTCTTTAGCCCCTCTGGACGGGTCTTTAGTCCCTCTGGACGGGTCTTTA